ATTAAAATACCTACATAATGCATTAAAATATCTACATATTGCATTGTATTGTTACGAATTTTGTATTTAAATAGGTTTTTTTTCAGTAGAATTGTAATTAAAAGTGTTGTATTTTTCCATGCAATGCAGCACGAGACTAATTCTAAGAGAAAGCTATGCCGGAAAAGTAAGAACACAGGGGAACATACATTTAACTTTTGAGTAAATTGCTATCTCGGTAATTTGTATTGAACTTGAATAAATGTAATTGACCACTATGTTAGCTGTAACCGTAATTTCGTCCTCTTTTTGTTTTTCAGAAATCTCGAGAAGCAGAAAATACTAGAAATATCTCGCGATCGGTTGAAAGCTATAAAAGCCGGAGAGACAGCGTCTGAGTTGAGTTACTTAGTTGCTGTTGTTGAGCGCTGTTATTTCCGCGTGAACTGAGAAATCCGAGTTAGCTTTCTCCTTAGATGCGCTTTGTAATGCGTCGTATTGAAAATTTTTAGTAGTTCGAAGTGTAATTACTGATTACATTGCGTGATATTGTGAACACTTGTACGAATATCTCTGAGGAAAATTCCAGAGTTCTGATATATTTCTTTCATAAGAATAAATTTTATTAACCTATTATCGGACTTGTGCACTCAATCTGTTACGAGCCCGTACGTACGCAACAGTACACATTTCATATTAATCAAAACGTCCTATGGTTGGACTTGAAAATGAACAAATATGCAATAGTCAAAGTATCGAATATATTGCAATGATAGGGCAACTGCAAAGTTTCGAAATGGACGTTACTGGTAATAGCTGCACAACGGTCTATATGTTACAAATAACTGAGAAACAAAACAGTTACGTTACATTTTGTTACTGCAAGCATTCATAATAAAACATACACTTTATTACGGAAATTAACCCAATGAGTGCTTAAAAAATTCATAGCATTGACAAATAGCAGTAAATGTATTCTTGACAACGTGCCCATGGGTGGGAAGCATAGTCTGTTCTAATGATCTAGCACCTCAGACTATGAAAATCACTCAACAAATCGTTAGCCAACTACCTAAAGAACAATAGGCACCACGTGACAAGACTGCCCTTAACGTGACTGCTCAAATGTGAGAACAGTTTGATGCCCTTTCTGTCTCGTATACCTAACGGATAGAGCTTAAAGATAAAACTGTCGCTCTAGTAAGATAAAAAAAAAAAAGCTTTCAATTCTACATTCTAACGTACTGTCTATCATTCCCAAAAATAATATAGAAATATTTCTTTTTAAAATCTGTCGATAAAATTTTTAAAATCCGTCAATAAAATTTAAAATCTGTCGTTTCAATAAGATAAACAAAAGTTTTTAAATCTAGATCCTAATGTGCTATCATTGGCAGGAAGAATAAAAAATATTTTTCAGAGATAACACTGTCGTTCCAGTAAGGTAAATGAAAGTGTTTAATTCTAAATTCTAATCATTACAAAGAAAAATATAGAAATATTTTTCAAATGATAAAATCTATCGTTCTGGTAAGATAAGCAAGAGTTTTTAAATCTACATTCTAACTTGCTATCATTAGCAGAAAAAATATAGAAATATGTTTTTAGAGATAAAATTGAGAGATAAAACTATCATTCCAGTAAGGTGAACAAATTACTTTTAAGTCTACATTCCAACGTGCTACCATTAACACGAAAAGTATAGAAATATTTCTTTAAAGATAAAACTATTTCAGTAAAACAAAGAAAGGATTTTAAGTCTACATTTTATCGTGTTATCGTTAAAAGAAAAGCTATAGAAATACTGTTTATGTTTATAAATTAACTAGTTTTTTATATAACTATATCTATGAGGATCTTGGCATATCTATAGCAACACCATTGTCAACTAAATAAAGGAGGTTTTATCTACTTCCCACATGTTTATTTGTAATTCTCTTTTACTTTTCACTTTCAATTAATTTATAAAATAATTTTATAATTGCATCATAAGCATTGCCTCTTCCAGTTATTATCCACGTGAAAATGATCCAAGTTATATTTTATATGAAAAAATATTACTAACTCGTAGGTTGGTGATTACGAAGCAGTTATATCAGTGTTCAAATACAGGAACTTGGTCAACACATGTGTTCTCTCTTATGTGGAATTTGATTCTCGACATTGCAGCATTCGGAATATACCTTACTCAGACGCGAAGTCGATACCTTATACGTACTTCACCCACTCTGCTGACTCAACTGTGCAAATCAAACACTGCAACCCCCTTTGCTTTCCTTCACCCCCATCTTCCCATCGGATGAACAAGAGGGTCCGAAAATAGAAGAGACCTTTTAAACGGAATCAGCCGCTGTTGTAAACTGCATCGGGGACGCTTGGTTGCGCGCGTCCGGAAGCACGCGAGCGCAACAGAACAACTCATAGCCTCTCGGACGATGGTCAAGGGGTGGGGGTGCCCTTCCCTCAAGAGATTAGGACCCCGTCGAATCGGACATCCCCCGGGAGCAATCTTGCATTATTGAACTGGTTGTGTCGCCAAGGACAAATTCGATTGGTCAATGCTCATGTGCGCTTTTTTGAAGAAACCTCTGGAGACGGCCATCAACGGTGGACGTTCGGACATGGGGATGGACAGCACTCTTCAACCCCCACCCTCTTTGTTTTTGATGATATCCCCCTGACTCATTTCTCCCCCCTCCTCAGTCCTATTTTACGATCCCCAATCGCTCTCCGTTTACTTCTTGAAAGCTGAAGTAGTTTCTAAACTTAAAGTTTATTTTCTTATACTTTCCCATTTCTAATGAAATCTTTGAAAAAATAATTTTTTCGTCCTACAAAGTGAAAAAAAAATCTATAAATGAACTGAATACATTTGGGTCAAGATAAACCGATATTAAATAAGGAACACGTATTGGGTAAAATATCTTGGATAACTGATATAGTAGAAGCTGACATTGATGTTACTAGCACAAAAACAATCTTTTGATCTTAACAGGATGCCAAATCTATCTATCTATAGCTCTATGTATCTATCTTTCTCTCTCTATATCTATATCTATATGTATCTCAATTTAATTCCGCATGGTAATTTAGACTCTAATTATTCTTCACCTGCCTCAACGATCCACCTGAATAACCCTTATAAAATAATGTTTCAGGCGAAAAATGCCGCCCAGGGAGTATCGCCCTTAACTACCCCACTGAATATAATCTGCCCACTAGAGAAAAGACTTGGCTAAATCTGCATCACGTGGTTTCGGACGATCACAGTACCTTACTTTAGGTAAAGTAGGACTAACAGCTCATACATTATAAGTAGTAATAGAATATGGATTCCCTCGTTTGAAAGTTTAGATAGGTTCTATGCGTCTCCCTTCGCAGTGAAAAAAATTCTAATCCTAAGAGACGGGCTCAAGTCTCCTCTCATCCCATACAAGCCATTTATCCTTTGAAAGTCCCTACGAAGACCTTCCTTTCATTTGGCAGAGAGTTTTTGACTGCTTTTCTATGATCAAAACAGGCTAGATAAAACTATCTCTTCTGTTATTTATTTAAACGACATAGTTTTACCAAAAATGAAGTAGCATATTGTTGATTCTTGTAGAAGAACCTCTGCAAAATTCTGTGGAATGCAGATTAACATTTCTCGCCGATCTATTAGTATCACATATATCCGCATAAGACCTACGTCAGCTTACTAGTACTTTTGCATTTATTTATTGCTCTAATTCAGGGCTTCTTAAACTTTTTGCAGTCGCGATCCCTTTTTATCACTAAGATTTTTTTCGCGACCCCAAGACCCCATAATATTTACGAAAGGTTTGTGGGGCCCCATAAGCATCGCGCAAATCCGACACACGAGTGAGTAACTGTCATTTTTTTTCACTTGTACTGTAATATACTATTGCAGTTTTAGGTCATTAGATTTAATTTCTAATTTTAAGACATAGAACAATGTGAAAATGTTAAATAAGTAACAGACGAAATAACAGCTTCACGTGCAAAGCAAGGAAAATGAACGTTTATATTATATTATAAAAAGAATGCGTCGAAACGTTTTCGTTTTTTCTTCGTCTGTATTGTCTTATCTTTATCTATTTTCGGATACATTGTGTAAAAATATTTGGTAATTTTAAAATTATTATAATGTAATAAATTAAAGAAATATCAAAACTTCTAAAATTTTTGGCGACCCCCTGCTGCAGGTACCGCGACGCACAGTTTAAGAAACTCTGTTCTAATTTAATGAACAATGAATAAAACGCTTAAACTAATTAAATAAATCACTTGGTTAAAATCTTAAAATATTAAATATTGCCTCTTAATTTAATAAAAGAAACAATGATTTAATTTTGTTCTCGTGACTAATCTTCCTGATCTCAACATCCTCTAGATCAGTTCCACGAGCTTATCTTGGCTAAGAGGCAGAGGATTGCGCTCTCCGGGGGACTGATCTTAAGGTTTCCCTACCATCAACCTCTCGAAAAGGCTTTCGGCTTGACGTATTGAGAGTGCCTTCATGAGGAAAGACACTATACATTGTCATCCATGTCGAAAGTCGAGTCTGGACCAAAAGATGACAATCGGGATTTCTTAAAACTGTACTGACCAGGGTGGATCACTTTAATTCTATTCTAGGTATTTCCTCAGGAAAAATTCTTTTTAATGACGTCCATGTAATAAAACATTTAGTGAAATACTGTTTAATAAACCTTCCAGTCTTGATAAATTATCTAGCACTGATACTGCCTTAAAGTGTCCTCTATACTTAGTCGAAAAAGCTTAATCCTCCGGTATGTAGTTTGCAAATTTCAAATGTCACCTAAGGATTAAACGGTGGACATTTTACCAAGCATATACCTTTTCTTAATCTTACAATTTAATTAAATATAAGGCAATGAGTAATAATGCACGTTAAGACATATTTCTAGGTTTTAAAAGTTTGAAGAACTTAAGTAAAAGGAATGTTAAAGAAAGATTATGGAGGAGAATACATTAATATAAGATGTGAATAAACTTACAATAAAATATTTACCTCGGACGATCTGCAACTGTTTTGCCACTTCTTCCCTATATGCAATTTCTTTTCTAACTTGTTCTTCAAAAGTATCTAGGAAGAAAACAGATACAAATTCGTTATAACATATCAGAATTAAAAGCAAGTACACATTTTACGTTTAACACAAATATTTATACGACACCTCTTTTCACACCTGAAACGTTTTGATTTTAATAAGGATTTTAGATAAGTAATTCTGATTCTTGTGCTTGAGAGACATGACGCATTCGTCTTATGTATCTTTTGAGTGGAATATATAGATAGGGTCTCCTTAAGCCTTGTCAGTCAGAGCCTTGTTTATTACAAGGAAAAATGGGCATTTTCCCCGGGTCTCTAAATTCCTGCGTGCCATGGACGTCATGGCATTTGGTCTACCAGTACAGTGTGTTCAGTCCGAACACACCATACAATGAAGGCTTCACTATACGCAATATTTCAAAGATAAAAATTAAAAGTAATACAGAATAGGCATATTAGCATAAGAACAACAAAATTATATAAAGATTTTTTTCGTTGATATTATTTATATTTAAAAAAAATCTGAAACATTTCTTTGAAAAATCAGTGTCTTTAAAAACAGAATATATCTCAACGTTAATGATTTGCTTGTGTTGTGCTGCCGTCTATTATTCATAAAAGCGATTAAAAGTAATCATTAGTGTAGTTTTCGTGATATTTATCGATTACTTTCAGTGTCTAAAGAGGGAATATTTTTGGTGTGTTCACACCGAACACACTGCATCAGAAAGGGTTAAGAGCAAACGAGGATTTCGACATTCCTAAGAGTCGAAGATGCCAAATAGCCGGACCATATTCCTATGGGTCGAGGATGCCATATAGCTCTAGCTATAGCTTATTTATGCAATAACAAGCGAGACATGCTTCCTGAGTTTATATGGTGGCAAGAACAAGTAGCAGAGAATAACAATCTCTTCGATATCTTTAGTTTAATATAACTGTCAAGCAATATTCGTCGGCAATCAAAAAATGTCTTTAATGGATCGATTGAGGTTGAAAATATATTTCATCGCCAAAAGGTGCCAACAGAATGATGACAGTATATCGGAGGGTGCCGGGGAATAAACAAATGTCAGTTTAATAGACTCAATAAATCGTGACTATTTCTTGCAAGAGCTTTTATATCTGAGCATTACTTTCTTGATATAATTTCTTGATATAAAAGAGAATAAAGTTTTCGAAGTATTCATTGTTCTATTCTATTTCTTTTCTAAAGCACATGTTTAATAGTTTCGAAAGGTCATGAATTGCTTGTACTTCCTTTTTTTTTTTTTTTTTTTTTTCTGCTGCTTTCACTAATTTAAAGCCCTTCCTTTCCTTAGTTGTAAAAAATAATTATGCAAACAAAACTACTCTTAACACACATGCTTTAACACATTTAAATGCATTAAAATCATAATCATCGTTTATTAAAACAGCGATGATGGAAAAAAAAGGAAAAGGAGTAGGAAATAGCTGTATTAAATAGTTCTTATTCATTAATTTTTTTCTGTGCATATTATCCGATATCAGTTTATGTTCATTACTCCGACTTTTGATGAGAAAAGCAATTCTTATACGCCTAATGGCACTTATACAACTCTTTAATTCAACCTGAAAATCGGAAAAAAGATCTCCCGTGGGAAATATCAGTTGAAGCATAGCCGGTTTCATTAAAGAAAAGTTAGCTGCGGGTCATGTAGCCACCCAGGCAAAAGTAACTTTGCAGAGAAATCCTTTTCTGTCAACTGAAAATCCCTTTCTCGGAAACCCACGTGGGAATAGTTTTAACCGGGTTGAAGGTTTTTAAGGGAATTTCTTGCCCTTCTATACGAGCGCAGTCTCATCTTTAGATATTAAAGAGGTTAAAATATAAAGAGGGATCAATTGAAGCAAAGGAGTTCGGGCATTTTAAAACTTTAAAGAAATCGATTCACTAGAGTAGCTGCTTCCAACAGACATACATTATTCAGTCTTTGGGAATCGTGTATGAGAAGCAAAAAAAAAAAAAAAAAAAAAAAAAAAAAAAGGCTTCTGAACTATTTTCAATATTGCGCAAGCGTTCCATGGGAAAAGAAGTAGGAGCAAATAATGTTTTTGAACACTTTAACTACTTGCAGTTCGCCTTTTAAAAGTCAATGAGAAAAAAATCGCAGGAATGGCATTATTTATGATATAATGGAATAATAATTTCTGAATTTTCTGGAAATTTTCAGAAATTTCATGGAAATTTAACAAATAGAGCGTTTACACATTTTTTAACGACTTTTGAGCCGTTTACTAAATATTTAAAATGTAAAAATTATTCCTTTGAATGTTTGATCTGATATCCTTACCTGGACTGTAAGTCTGTATGGTAATTTCCACGATAGAAAAGCTTTTCAAAACGTTTCCAAAGGTATCTTTTCCATTCCTCTTTCGCTACGTCTCAGTGTTCGGCCATTGGGTGTAGTTTTGCGTTAATAAAGAGCTCTTTTCAAGACTCCAAAGACACTATAGGCCGTAGGTGAAGCATTAGGGGGATTCGCGAGAAGACGTTTAAAAATATATATGCAAAACCTGTATCATTCTTCATTTTTTCAAGGAATTCAGTGCTACGTTTCGAAGTATGACTTCCTTTCATATATAGAAGTATATATATAGAAGTATATATTTCATATATAGAAGTATGACTTCCTTTCTTCTTGACTTTCAAAGTTTCACTCTTTGAAAGTTACTGAGATAAAGAAATGGAATTTCTTCTGTAAATATTGCACTTAAAAATTTGCAGACATTTAGGTAAACCGCTGCTTCATCGAGGGTCACAATGTATTTACATTTATCTCCTGCTAAATAGTTTTCATACATGATTCTACTAATAGTTCTGCGTTGAGCCCACGCCTTGATGGCTGGTGAACGTTATGGGTTTTTGGAGTAATTATTTTATTTATTGTTACTGCAGATAAATTTAAAGACTTTGCAATTTATTTCTGAACCAAAGAATTTTCTCATTTTACCAGAGATTTAAGATGCATTAGAAACACTTTTTATGGAGACATTTAAATAAGTAAAATGATAATTGATGGATTTTCCGTTTCGGATTAATAATATTGCTTATTTTGCATTTAGAAATCTTAATATCAAGCATTTCACAACGTTTTTGCATTATGGAATGGTAATATTTCCCTACGGAAAGCACAAAAGCGTATCCTTTAAACGATAAGATTGCTTACATGCGACATTTGGAAAGCCGAACAAATTTAAAAGTAGATTTAAAAGTAGCAGACGATATTTCTCATTTCAAATAATAAACTGTTGCCAGAAATTTTTATTTCGAAACAATTGCCGTTTTTTTAATGCTTTATCAAAATCGTTCTAAAAATGTGTAAACACCATCAGTAATTCGGAAGATCAAAATAAAAAATAGCTGAAAATCAAAAATAGCTGAAACCAAAACAGCAAAATAAACGTTTAATTTAAATATTGGCGTTTGGATTATGAATTTGCAGAGACTTATTGGAGCATTGAGAGTGAAAAACCCACTGAGCGCCCTGCCGGGTTTCGAATTCCAGATTTTCTACACTAGTGTGCAAAATTTACGCATCAAATTCATTTTTGATCGTAGAACCTTGCTCTTGTTTAAAAGGGATTTTTGCGTTCAGTACAGTGAAATCCAAGTCAGCAGAAAGATGATACATATACAAATATCGGTACCATGAGCGTCAGTGGATACGTCAGCGCATGCGAAACGCGAGGAATCAGCGCTCAACGTAAAAAGAAGAAAAGAAAGCGCATTTCAGGCATTCTTCTGCAAGCGAAAGTGAGATTGTGTGTGCAGTATGGCTACAAGAAAACACCAGGAAGCCTTTACATGTGGTAGAATGATTGGCAAGCGTAGCTGTAAGTTTGCCGCCCAAGAGTTTGGAATTTATAAAAGTGTTGTTTCACATGCTTGCAAAGCCGTCCAAACAAGAGGTACACCTGTAAAATATACTGGTGATGATCCACCAAGGAAAATAAAAATGGATGATGGCCAATCTATCGCCCTGTAGGCGAAAAAAGATCGAAACCAGATAGCGGGCAAGATTATGCAATTGCGCACGGCAATCGGATGACAGGTGTCCCTTTACTATGGTCGAACGACTTCATAAAGGAACAACTTTCTATTCGTCCGATATCATAAAAGTTTCATACCATTGACAGTACCTCATCGACGGGACCGTTTACAGAGGTGAAGAGAGAACAAAGCCTGGGCACCTCATCCGAGTCACAATGAGGATGTTATCCTCCCCACATGCGTCTTTTCCGTCTTTCCCGACTTTGTTTTTATGGATGACACCTCGGCCACACAGGCCTCATTCTGTGGAGGAGTTCTTCCTACCCCATGAACTATAGTTCGACCGCCTCATCCGCGACCATGAGCGCAAACACGCATGCGCCATTCGGACCGAATTATTCTCAAAATAGGATGGAAAGCTGAGGACTTTTTTCCCCTCCATCATAACTCCTTCCGAAGAAGAGAAGACCTTTTACATCGCAGCAAGTAATACAGCCCCTTTTGGACGAGTCTGTGTTTTGGCAGATTGCCAACCAGGGTTGCGCTTGAGACGGTCGAACTATAGTAGACAATCTGGTGCTGAGTATCGGCAGAGGGTGCAACTCAACCATTGCAGTTATGGTAGGTATATTGTGCCTCTCTAATATTACTTTCATGTCTCCATTGCGACAAAAATCAGAAAAGCTGCTTAAGTTCTGCACTCTATTTTAGTTGACAATTGGAAATGCTAAGTATTAACATCCAAGAGAACATATGGAAGAATACATTAATTCTTTATATTTTCCCTTATTTCATAATTTTTCAATTAGTTCATCATTTACATTCATGCCCCCTCTCTTAACCCTCAGCGTCGACAGAGGACAGACGCTGTTGGTTACTAGTATAACTTTTGAACCGGTGGCTAGTTTTATGGTCGCTAAAATTGAACTCAACGCCTAATGAAGTAAATAAAAGAGAGTTGTCTGTATTGCCAACTTTAATACAAATGATTTTTATGTGATTATGGTAAAGTCTCGAGGGCTATCTGCCTAAGGGAAGGGATGTCTTCGTGGAGGAATTTCTAAGGAAAACTAGCTCTTATACGTTACACATGGAGAAAACCACGAAAATGCCCTTGCGACCAGCCCGTTCGCGGGATTAACCTCGGACCGAACTACCAGTGTTCAGCGACTTCCCGCTGGTAGACCCTCCAGAATACAAATGGGAGCAAAGAATGATGTAATTATTTTAATGAACTACAGTCTTTAATGCTATCATTAAGTCAGTACTTAGGCTCAACGGTGTCAAACAGGATAAAACTCTAGTAGTTCGACCCAGATTTCAATCCAAGAGAACAGGTAGGCTACATGTGCGTTTTAATTTTTTTCCCCGCATATTTAAAGTGACTACAAGACAATTCGACTTAGAAAGTTCTCTACAAAGGCAAACTTCTCTTACGGGAAGGTGCCGTAAAACATTTAAATAAAAACTGATAAACGGCAAAATTTCTGTGCTTTGCCGATTTCAGCTTTTACTGAAATATGTCTAGTAAATAATGAATTTTTAAAATTTAAATATTGTTAAGTAATATAAATGCCTTTCGATTGGCCCGCCAGTGGCCGAACAAATAAGAAGGTTGTTAAGAGCTGGTGATTCGATCCGGGTTCAAATCCCGGCAAACAAACTGATTGCATAGACCTCATCATGGCTTTCTGTATGTGAAACAGAAATAAGAGCTAGTTTCCTTTAGGAAAGCCACCACGGAAGCATTCTTCCCTTTGGCACGTAGTCCTAGTGTGTTTTCCCATAATCTATTAAAATAATTTATGATTGTAATAAGGGTCTTATCTTTAACTTCTTAAAGAGCAATTTTTGCATTAATATAACAAAAATTATCTGATAATTTCTCAATAGCAATAAAATTAGTATATTTTTCATAACGAATTCGTCAATCACAAATGAGGAGGATATTGATGAAATTCTTTCAATATCTAATCGATATTCTAATTTATGATTTTTTTTTCAGCTTTTACTGTTTTCACTTGAGAAGAAAATGCTTTATTATTTATTCGTAGAAAATTCTAAAATGCACTTTTTTTCTTCTGGCGAAAATATTACGATTCTCCAGTACAGAATACGAAAGGGTGTATTGTAACGGAAGCTTTTACGAGAGTTGCATGAAATTGTTTATACATCATACCTCTGATAGCTTGATACTCTCTCTCGGCACGTCTTCTCGCCTCTGCTTCTTGTAATAAAACTTCTTTGAGTTCATCTGTATCAGAAAAAAGAAAGGAACAATATTAAAAGCCTCTTAGCTTTAGGAACAATATTAAAAGCAAGATCGAACATATATAATAATGTAATATTAAGTGCTTCTAAGCCTTTCTATCTTAAATTGAATAAGCACGTTAAAGTAATCTACGTATGTGCTTCAGCCCAAGATAACGAGCACTAAAAAAAGTACCAGGACACATTATAGAAAAGGGTACTTACGTGTTATCGCAAACCATCCTGGCGCGGTTTGGTGAATTTTACATGATCAAAAGAACAATTACTTTTCATTGTAAAAGATTATGCACGATATAAATATGTTACATTTCAACTATGTATTTATTTAAAAAAAGTCAGTAAACCTAGCTACAAATGGGTTCTTGTTTTTACTGTGCGATTGCTTTGAGAAAAGATTCGAAGTGTTCTTCCTAATGTTAAGATTTTACCATAAAATACTGTCTTCCTGCAATTTCTTCTACCCTAAAGAAATCCTACAAGCATATGTTTTAAAACCGAGTTTAAGGAGAAAAAATCTCATTTTATTCATAAAACCGATAATTTTTACTGGAACTTGGTACACAACATGTATGGAAATGGAGAATTTCAAGACTCAATATTTGTCATGCGCATGGCTGCCGAAGCTAAAATTTTTATAAGGTGGTTGTAATAATACCTAAGTACCATAAAAAGTACATAGTGTACAATGAACGCTGCAAAATGTATCGAGATTTATTCCATGAAACGCAAGATTAGTTTTTGGTTAAGAATTGTTACATTTTCTTCGAAATAAATCCAGCCGACTGCAATGTATGCATGCTAAAACATTTCTCAATCTTCGAATGCCCTTTAAAGTAGTTTTGTGACTCTCTTTCAGGAATCTTCTTTTATTGCATTATAGCACTGCGATCTATAACTGCATGCTACAAAACAGTATCAACAACAAGTGAATCTTCTTTTATTGCATTATAGCACTGCGATCTATAACTGCATGCTACAAAACAGTATCAACAACAAGTGAATCTTCTTTTATTGCATTATAGCACTGCGATCTATAACTGCATGCTACAAAACAGTATCAACAACAAGTGTACAAGTTCTGGCGGGAGTTATTCCCGTGAATTTAAAGGCAGACTTAGACGTTCAGACATATCTAGCACAACACATGAACAATGATATAATTTATGGTGATTTAGTTGTCAATCACCAAAATATTGATAGAAAAAAGATAAATATTGTTACCGCCTCCAAAAATAAAGAATATAATTGATATGGGAAGGAAACATTCCACAAGGAGAGATATTCACTGATGGCTCGGTGATGGACTTAAAAGCAGGAGCTGCCTTTGTGGCTTATTATAACGAACAGAGATGTGAAGATAAGAGATAGAGACTTGATGAAAAAAATACAATTTTTGAATCTGAATTATCAGCCTTTAAAAAAGCTTTAGAATGGGCTGATATATGGATAAAAGAAAATAATTTGACAAATTGTTTTGTTTCAATCTTCACCGAGTCAAAGTATGTTGAAAGCAATGAATTCTAGAAAATGTCTTTTTAAAAACGTAATTGAAGTAAGAAATAAAACTGTAGAATTTATAGAAAAGCATAACTTTATAAAATTAATTGGGTTAAAAGTCATACAGGAGTGCTAGGGAATGAAGCTGCAGACACAACACTGCGAAGGAAGGAACTAAGAGCGATAATACAGATATTTTTTCCACCATCTTCAATAGAATACATGAAAACATTATTGCAAAAAGAAATAATGAAAAAATGGCAAGACCGATGGAATAATGATAACACTGGAAGAAAATAATTTCAGATTTTTCCTATAAAGTTAAGGCAACAAGGCTCTCTAGTGACAAAAGAATAAATCAAGAACTGACAGGTCATGGACAAAATACAGAATAGTTAAAGAGATTTCACAGAAAGAAAGTAAAATGTAAGTGCGGTTGTGAAGCACAAAATGCAGACTTTACATACTATTTGTGTGAATGCATACAGACAGTCTCTATTACAGAAGAATAATTTAAAAATATCTCAAAAGAAAATATAAAGTACTTATTTATGAAAGAAAACTCCAGGTTAAGAATTATAATAAACGTAAATAATCTAATGGGGTGTGAATATTTTGAAGTACATTGATTATTTAATAAATTTCTAAAATTGTATATTTGCTATTATTTATGTATTTTGGTTAGAAAGATTATGTAATAAGCGATAATGGGTTTCAACCGTGAATTTATGTTAAAAATTAAGCAAAAATTGATCAATTTAAATATCTGTGAGTCAGCGTGTTTTAGAAATATAGAAAATCTCGATTCACAAAATTGTTAAAACAATAAAATCCTACCAGCAAACACGTTCAAGATGAATCTATGAATGTTAAACTTGCTTTAGAATCTATTAAAGTGAAATAAAGAATATTGCAGATTAGATTCTAGCATATGCTTAAAATGTCCAAACAAATTTTTCGAAGATGTAAATGAGGAGTTTGAATTTAAATCTACAGTTAAAATCTGGCAAAGGCAAAAGACATGTCAGTTTAAGTATGAACATGAAGACAAATCACAAAGTCCGAAGACAGTTTAGAATTATGTATTTTATATGTTTTTAGGTATTGCATGGATATCCTTAAATAAATGTTTTTAACTACTAACATTTTCCTATGGCAATTTTAGTTTCATGTAGAATTTACCACAAATTGATAAAGAAGATGTACTGAAAAACTATCATAGTTTGGGGAGTATTGAAAAACTAACATAGTCTAAAAATGTGCTTCTAAAGACATTTGCAATTTTGACATTCTACAGTTCATTACATTAGTGATTTAAGAAAAAAATTACTGACGTTTTCTGTGGTGCTGTAAGGTGTGAAAGATCATTTTTCGAACCAAAATTAATTTAGATTTATTTAGATACGAGTTGGTTATCAGAAAGATTTCTGAAACTTGTATTAATGGTATCTGAAAATCGTGTATGTGCCGTATTATACATAAAAGAGAGAATTTCCACTTTCATTAATCTAAAATACAGAAAAAAAAATCAGATGTATAAAAGTTAAATTGTAGTTTAATTACGTAAATTTGTATGCTTAAATATTTAACTAATTTTAAAATTTTATATCTTCGATTAAAACAAAATTTAAATGTTGAAAATATGGTTGTACTGTTTTAATTATTTTTTTTAATTCCTTCTTTTAACATCGATAGGAAATGAAAATAAAAAGGCCGATCTTGATCGGTGCTTTTTTTTTTATAAATACGCTAGCGCTGACCTTGCTCTATAAAGAACCTCAAAACTCGCTTTCATCACAGTTTGTGAAATTTTTACAGATTTCTTCCGAATTCCAGTCTCTAAAGGTGTTATAAAATTTTTATATAAATTTGCAAAGCAATATTTCTATAGAATTCTTTTGTTCTAGGAAAGCTTTATAAAATTTCTACAGAATTTTGAGAAGCATTTCTATAAAGCACTATAGGATTTTCTATCGAGCTCTGTCAGCTTCTCTATAAAATTTTCTTTAAGGCGTGTTGGAAACCCTTATACAGGCAATATTAAATTGGCCATTTTCGATGTACCTTTTCTCAAAATCTATTGTAGATACACCCTTAAAATTTTCTATGTATTTAAAGTATACCTATCTGATTATACTGAAATGAGTTGTTGAAACATTTTGAATTTTAGAGTAATTTACAGAGTATTTTGTAGGCATAGTAAAATTTAGCACTTTTCTCACATAATATTTTTTTCTTAGTTTATCACAAAAAGCTTATTTTAGTAAATATTAGGAAACATAATAAATAAGCCATAAACATTTTAGATACCTGTGAGCAATAGTTCCTGAGAAAAGGTACATCGAGTATAAAAAAAAAAAAAAAATCACGTTTGGAGAAAAACACGTTTTTACGTAAAAATTCTCATTTCTCAAAGCATTCGATGACAAATTAAAACTAGATTTTTTACAGTTATAATCTTAATAGAGATTAAAGACTGGTATTTTTAGGAAGATAAATGTGTAGAGAATTTGAAAATGCAAAAATCCGAAATCACCATTTTTTTGAAGATTTTTGACTTTAAGGGAAGGCATGCCTGATGCTTGAAATTCACTTTCCTGTGGGAAAAACCAATTACTGTACGTGGTCAAAACCCTCCTCCGCCACCACCACTAGACCCGCGGGAAGATTCCATTATTGGCGTGGCCAACTGCCACTCGTCGTAACACCAAAAATTCACGTCTACAGCGTGTTAGCAGTTAAAGCAAATTTATCTCCCTGTATCGAATAGCGTTAAATGTCATGCTCTGGCCCCTTCTAATGATGGAGGTTCCCCGGTTTGTAATGAGGATACATCCATCAAGTGGCAGCCTAAGTGTAAACCGGCCGGGCTGAAAGTACTTGAATAGTGGCCCTTTTTCCAAGCCATAAATAAAGTATGAAGTGGATTGATAAATTCACCAGGCAGCGGGTTTCCAATTACCTGCTTGACGAAAATACTGAGCTTTCAGTAATGGGGGTTTTTAATTTCGGAGGAAAAATTATCTTAAACATTCGGTGCGTGAAGTTTTCCTATTTTTTTTAATAGTCGACAGTTTAACTGCTTTTTGGTGGAAGGAATCGTGGAACGAATTTCTGATCGCACCAATGAATTTTGGCTTCAGAGCTGGAGAGATTAGTTGAGGCAAACTGTTCAAAATACGAGGCAATTCGTTAAGCTATTCCTCTGCAATCAATTGTCTTGATTTCTATCAGGTTTTTGCATTTAACTGAAGTTTTATCCTCAGGGAATGATGCAAAGAATAATATGAAAATGGGTACAGTTAAAGAACTGCCACTTAATTCAATTTCAATTCAATTTTTAATTACTTAATTAAACTTTAATTTTTCTTTTTAAGTTTTTCTTAACTGAAGCTCAAAAAAGTGCTGTTGAGTTGAAATTTAATAGGACTTTATTCAATAAAAATTAAAAAATGTTAAATTGAATTATTGTATTAAGGCCTTGTT